GGACAATAGAGCGTAAGCTCCTCTGGTACGGAGACTGATGTGACTGTGGGGGAGGGGACAATAGAGCGTAAGCTCCTCTGGTACAGAGACTGATGTGACTGTGGGGGAGGGGACATTAGAGCGTAAGCTCCTCTGGTACAGAGACTGATGGGACTGTGGGGGAGGGGACATTAGAGTGTAAGCTCCTCTGATACAGAGACTGATAGGACTGTGGGGGAGGGGACATTAGAGTGTAAGCTCCTCTGGTACAGAGACTGATGGGACTGTGGGGGAGGGGACATTAGAGTGTAAGCTCCTCTGGTACAGAGACTGATGGGACTGCGGGGGAGGGGACATTAGAGTGTAAGCTCCTCTGATACAGAGACTGATAGGACTGCGGGGGAAGGGACATTAGAGCGTAAGCTCCTCTGATACAGAGACTGATGTGACTGTGGGGGAGGAGACATTAGAGTGTAAGCTCCTCTGGCACAGAGACTGATGTGACTGTGGGGGAGGGGACATTAGAGTGTAAGCTCCTCTGGCACAGAGACTGATGGGACTGGCTCAGTGATCTGTGTACAGCGCCGCGGTATATGTTGGAGGAATGTCTCTGGGTAATATTATGATAAATCTGGTATAAAATGGCGCCGTCAGCTCTTTATAAATCCGCGATTATTCGGAAGACAAGCGCCTTGTCCGCTCCCCTCCTAATTCATACTAATTCATACACCTGTACCGGCTTAGCGGGGATGTTTGCGGTGGCGCGGGGCCGCCAACAGGCTGGCGCAGGAAACGCAGTCAGGATCCAACAACCCGAACAAAGCCGTCCGCCCTTCCCACGCCAACATTTCGCCGGATGCTTTAAGCGCAGGATTGTCGTTTTGTGTTTTTTCTCCTTTTTTTTTTTTTATACAAAGTTCAGAGCGATCGCCGTGCGTCTGTCTCCCCGTCAGGAATGTCGGACACGTCGGGGCAGGAGAAGACGAATATATCATTTAATCGCCGGTAAAGATACAGATATGAAGTACCTGACATTCACTTCCTGGTAGTACAGACCCGGGAACTCAGCACAGGGACGGTGGGAACCCCTCATAATGGGCACAGTGGGGTACAGACCCGGGAACTCGGCACAGGGATGGTGGGAACCCCTCATAATGGGCACAGTGGGGTACAGACCCGGGAACTCAGCACAGGGAAGGTGGGAACCCCTCATAATGGGCACAGTGGGGTACAGACCCGGGAACTCGGCACAGGGATGGTGGGAACCCCTCATAATGGGCACAGCGGGCGTACAGACCGGGAACTCAGCACAGGGAAGGTGGGAACCCCTCATATTGGGCACAGCGGGCGTACGGACCCGGGAACTCGGCACAGGGATGGTGGGAACCCCTCATAATGGGCACAGCAGGTGTACGGACCTGGGAACTCAGCACAGGGATGGTGGGAACCCCTCATAATGGGCACAGCAGGTGTACAGACCCGGGAACTCAGCACAGGGACGGTGGGAACCCCTCATAATGGGCACAGCGGGGGTACAGACCTGGGAACTCGGCACAGGGATGGTGGGAACCCCTCATAATGGGCACAGCGGGGGTACAGACCCGGGAACTCGGCACAGGGACGGTGGGAACCCCTCATAATGGGCACAGCGGGGTACAGACCCGGGAACTCAGCACAGGGACGGTGGGAAACCCCTCATAATGGGCACAGTGGGGTACAGACCCGGGAACTCAGCACAGGGATGGTGGGAACCCCTCATAATGGGCACAGCGGGCATACGGACCCGGGGACTCAGCACAGGGATGGTGGGAACCCCTCATATTGGGCACAGCGGGCATATGGACCCGGGAACTCAGCACAGGGATGGTGGGAACCCCTCATATTGGGCACAGCGGGCGTACGGACCCGGGAACTCGGCACAGGGATGGTGGGAACCCCTCATAATGGGCACAGCAGGTGTACGGACCTGGGAACTCGGCACAGGGACGGTGGGAACCCCTCATAATGGGCACAGCAGGCGTACAGACCGGGAACTCAGCACAGGGATGGTGGGAACCCCTCATAATGGGCACAGCGGGTGTACAGACCCGGGAACTCAGCACAGGGATGGTGGGAACCCCTCATAATGGGCACAGCGGGTGTACAGACCCGGGAACTCAGCACAGGGATGGTGGGAACCCCTCATAATGGGCACAGCGGGTGTACAGACCCGGGAACTCAGCACAGGGATGGTGGGAACCCCTCATAATGGAACCCAGCCTCCACCAAACACGGAAATATCAGTTTCGGACGGAGTTTCATTTTCCATCATCTGCTGTCAGTCATACAGGGGGAACCATCAGGACACCAATACAGATGCCACCATGAAAGGAATGGGCCGGGATTGGACGGTTGGCCACAAAGGCAGCTGCCTGAGACACGGGATAATATCGGGTCGCCAATGTATCATTTAGAAGTGTGTGGCATTCATTCGGCGTTCACCGATCTTCTCCTGCACCTCCCCCTCTGCAGTCCTCGGCAAGAGCCGAGTGCACATGGCGGTCTTACCAACCGTACTAATGATGTCATGAAGGGGGCGTGGCCCTGGCTTAGTAAATTGGCCAACGCTCAGCCCATTGGTTCAACGTCAAAAAGATGTGAGGTCACATTGGATTTCCCACCCGGCCAAATGGGACCACCAATGGTCACATGATTGTTGGTAGAACCAGCTGCACCCCCGACTCCCACCGAAGACATTTAGGTAAATTTTTGGTTTAGGAATGTTTTTGAAACTTTTTTATGAAGATACAAAATTGGATTTCCCACCCGGCCAAATGGACGATCTTTCACTGTTGGTACCACTTTTGCCCCATGGGTCAATTTTTGACAGATTCGTTCTACTAGGGGTGGCAATGGGACCACCAATGGTCGCATGACCGATGGTAGGACCAGCTGCACCCCTGACTCCTACAAAGGCATTTAGGTACATTTTTGGTTTAGGAATGTTTTTGAAACTTTTTTATGAAGATTCAAAATTGGATCACATCGGATTTCCCACCTGGCCAAATGGGACCACCAATGGTCACACGACTGTTGGTAGGACCAGCTGCACCCCTGACTCCTACAAAGGCATTTGTGGTTTAGGAATGTTTTTGAAACTTTTTTATGAGGATACAAAATTGGATTTCCCTCCCGGCCAAAAGGACGATCTTTCACTGTTGGTACCACTTTTGCCCCATGGGTCAATTTTTGACAGATTCGTTCTACTAGGGGTGGCAATGGGACCACCAATGGTCGCACGACTGTTGGTAGGACCAGCTGCTCCCCCGACTCCCACCGAAGACATTTAGGTACATTTTTGGTTTAGGAATGTTTTTGAAACTTTTTTATGAAGATACAGAATTGGATCACATTGGATTTCCCACCCGGCCAAATGGACGATCTTTCACTGTTGGTACAACTTTTGCCCCATGGGTAATTTTTTGACAGATTTGTTCTAATAGGGGTGAGAATGGGACCACCAATGGTCACACAACTGTTGGTAGGACCAACTGCACCCCCAATTCTTACCAAGATATTTAGGCAAATTTTTTGGTTTAGGAATGTTTTTGAAACTTTTTATGATACAAAATTGGATTTCCCACCCGGCCAAAAGGGACCACCAATGGTCACATGACTGTTGGTAGGACCAGCTGCACCCCTGACTCCCACCAAGACATTTAGGCAAATTTTTGGTTTAGGGATGTTTTTGAAACTTTTTTTTTAATGATACAAAATTGGATCACATTGGATTTCCCACCCGGCCAAATGGACAATCTTTCACTGTTGGTACCACTTTTGCCCCATGGGTCATTTTTTGACAGGTTAGTTCTAATAGGGGTGACAATGGGACCACCAATGGTCACACAACTGTTGGTAGGACCAGCTGCACCCCTGACTCTTACCAAGACATTTAGGTAAATTTTTGGTTCAGGAATGTTTTTGAAACTTTTTATGATGATACAAAATTGGATTTCCCACCCGGCCAAAAGGACGATCTTTCACTGTTGGTACCACTTTTGCCCCATGGGTCAATTTTTGACAGATTCGTTCTAATAGGGGTGGCAATGGGACCACCAATGGTCGCATGACCGATGGTAGGACCAGCTGCACCCCCAACTCCTACCAAGACATTTAGGTAAATTTTTGGTTTAAGAATGTTTTTGAAACTTTTTATAGTGATACAAAATTGGATTTCCCACCTGGCCAAATGGGACCACCAATGGTCACACGACTGTTGGTAGGACCAGCTACACCCCCGACTCCATCAAGACATTTAGGTAAATTTTTGGTTTAGGAATGTTTTTGAAACTTTTTTTATGAGGATACAAAATTGGAATTCCCACCCGGCCAAATGGACGATCTTTCACTGTTGGTACCACTTTTGCCCAATGGGTCAATTTTTGACAGGTTCATTATACTATGGGTGGCAATGGGACCACCAATGGTCGCATGATAGATGGTAGGACCAGCTGCACTTCCGACTCCTACCAAGACATTTAGGTAAATTTTTGGTTTAGGAATGTTTTTGAAACTTTTTCATGATGATACAAAATTGGATTTCCCACTCGGCCAAATGGAAAATCTTATACTGTTGGTACCACTTTTGCCCCATGGGTCAATTTTTGACAGGTTCGTTCTACTATGGGTGGCAATGGGACCACCAATGGTCACACGAATGTTGGTAGGACCAGCTGCTCCCCCGACTCCCACCGAAGACATTTAAGTAAATTTTTGGTTTAGGAATGTTTTTGAAACTTTTTTATGATGATACAAAACTGGATCACATTGGATTTCCCACCCGGCCAAATGGGACCACATGACCAATGGTCACATGACTATTGGTAGGACCAGCTGCACATTGGATTTCCCCCGACCCCAAAATGGGACACCAAGGTCACATTTAGGTACATTTTTACATTTTTTAGGGAATGTTTTTGAAACTTTTTGATCAAGAACACAATCGGCTACTTCTAATGGCAGTTCTTAAAAGTGGGTCTTACCTTAGATCTTTTCGATGATGCCGCCATCTTGCGCGTGCCGTAACCATTGCTGCCATCGGCATCTCCCGTCCCCAGCATGGAAACCTGAGGTCCCACATTGCACATAGGCCCGTTGCCCTTCTCCGGCACTTTCCTCCTGATGACGTGCGCCCCCGCGCCCTCGGCGCTGTTCTGCCCTCCTCCTTCCAACGGCTGGATGTGGTACTCGGACCCCCGGTACTGGAGCACCCCCAGCAGCGAGGCGCCGTTGTAGTTCACCGCCGCGATGGACTCCGGGTGGGAATTGACCGCCCCCGTAAAGTAGCTGCCGGATTCGGAGAGCCCGTTGGCCTCCGACTGCCCGTTCCTGCCCAAGTACTGCACCGTCAGGTCCTCGGAGAGAAAGCTCGGGTCCTTCTCCAGATCCAGGACCAGCTCTTCCCCGAAAGCGCGGAACCGGAACCTGAGGTGACCCTCCGAGGATCCCTCGTCGCCGGGCCAGTCCGGCTGCTCCTGGCGGAAGCTAGAGTTCATCTTTTCCGGAAACACAATCTCCTCCTTGTAGCCGGTCGGGGACCGTTCTCCAAAAGACAGCACCACGTGTAGCCAAGTGGCAGCAAAAACAGCGACCTCCCAACAAATCATCTTCCTTCCTCGCTGGTCCTCACAGATGAAGGTTCAACTTTTGGCCGCTTGAAGACGTAAATTAAAAAATAATAAGTGCTCAAAAAAAAAATAAAAAATGTACAAAGTTGCAAATTTGTACCTGAAACAAGGAAAGTCAATTCTTGGAGGACCAAAAAACTGACCAAAAATGGAGTCTAGGAACTTCTGGGGTTCAACAGTCCATCCTGGAAACGTAAATTTTGACCACTTGAAGACGTAAAATTAAAAAATAATAAGTGCTCAAAAAAAAAAGAAAATGTACAAAGTTGCAAATTGTACCTGAAAGAAGGAAACTCAATTCTTGGAGGAGCAAAAGTGACCTTTAAAAACTTTTTTTAATTTAGGGGGCCCCCGGGGTGGGGGGGGGATCGCCCCCCCCTTTTTCCCCCCCCAACCCCGGGGGGGGGGCCCCCCCCCCCCCCCGGGGGGGGGGGAAAAAACCCCCGGGGGGGGGCCCGGGGGGGGTTTTTTTGGGGGGGGGGGGGGGGGGGGGGGGGGGGGGGGGGTTGGGGGGGGGGGTGGGGGGGGTTTAAAAAAAAAAAAAAAGGGGGGGGGCCCCTACCCCGGGGGGGGGGGGGGGGTTTTTGGGGGGGGGGGGGGGGGGCCCCCGGGGCCGGGGAAAAAAAAAAAAGGGGGGGGGGGGGGGGGGGGGGGGGGGGGGGGGGGGGGTTGGGGCGGGGGGGGGTTTTTTTTTTTGGGGGGGGGGGGGGGGGGGGGAAAGGGGGGGGGGGGGGGGAAAAAAAAAAAAAAAAAAAAAAAAAAAAAAAAAATTTTTTTGGGGGGGAAAAGGGGGGGGGGGGGGTTGGGGGGGGGGGGGGGGGGGGGGGGGGGAAAAAAAAAAAATTTTTGGGGGGGGGGGGGGGGGGGGGGGGGGGGAAAAGGGGGAAAAAATGGGGGGGGGGGTTTGGGGGGAAAAAAGGGGGGGGGGGGGGGTTTTTAAGGGGGGGGGGGGGGGGGAAAAAAAAGGGGGGGGAAAAGGGGGGGAAAAGGGGGGGGGAAAAAAAAGGGGGGGGGGGGGGGGGAAAAAAGGGGGGGGGGGGGGGGAAACCCCCAAAAAACCTTTTTGGGGGGGGGGAATTTTTAAAAAAAAAAAAAAAAAAGGGGGGGGGGGGGGTTGGGGGAAAAAAAGGGGGGGGGGGGGGAAAAAAGGGGGGGGAAGGGGGGGGGGGGGGTTTTAAAAAAGGGGGGGGGGGGGGGAAAAAGGGGGGGGGGGGGGGGGGAAAAAAAGGGGGGGGGGGGGGGGTATTTGGGGGGGGGAAAAAGGGGGGGGGGGGGGGGGGGTTGGGGGGGGGGGAAAAAAAAAAGGGGGGGGGGGGGGGGGGGGGGGGTTTTAAAAAAAAGGGGGGGGAAAAAAAGGGGGGGGGGGGGAAAGGGGGGGGGGGGGGGGGGGGGGGGGGGGGGGGTTTTTTTGGGGGGGGGAAATTTTTTAAAAGGGGGGGGGGGGGGGAAAAAAAAAAAAGGGGGGGGGTTTAAAAAAAAAAAGGGGGGGGGGGGGGGGGTTTTTTTTTTTTTTTGGGGGGGGGGGGGGGGGGGGGGGGGGAAAAAAAAGGGGGGAAAGGGGGGGGGGGGGGGGGGGGAAAAAAAGGGGGGGGGGGGGGGGGGGGGGGGGGTTTTTTTTGGGGGGGGGGAAAAAGGGGGGGGGGGGGGAGGGGGGGGGGGGGGGGGGGGAAAAAAGGGGGGGGGAAAGGGGGGGGGGGGGGGGAAAAAAGGGGGGGGGGGGGGGGGGGGGAAGGGGGGGGGGGGGAAAAAAAAGGGGGGGGGGGAACGGGGGGGGGGAAAATTTTTTTAAAGGGGGGGGGGGGGGTTTGGGGAAAAGGGGGAAAAAAAGGGGGGGGGGGGGGGGGGGGGGGGGGGGTTTTTAAAAATTTAGGGGGGAAAAAAAATTTGGGGGGGGGGGGGGGGTTTTGGGGGGGGGGTGGGGGGGGGGGGGGAAAAGGGGGGGGGGGGGGGGGGGGGGGGGTTTTTTTTTTTTTTTTTTTTTTTTTGGGGGGGGGGGGGGGTTTTTGGGGCCCAAAAGGGGGGGCGGGGGGGGGGGGGGCCCCAAAAAAAAAAAAAAAAAAGGGGGGGGGGGGGGGGGGGGGGGGGGGGGGGGGGGGGGGGGGGCCCCGGGGGGGGTTAAGGGGGAGGGGGGGGGGGGGGGGGGGGGGGGAGGGGGGGGGGGGGGGGGCCCCGGGGGGGGGTTTTGGGGGGGGGGGGGGGGGGGGGGGGGGAAAAAAGGGGGGGGGGGGGGGGGCCCAAAACCCCGGGGGGGGGGGGGGGGGGGGGGGGGGGGGGGGGGGGGGGGGGGGGGGGGGGGGGGGGGGGGAAAAGGGGGGGGGGGGGGGGGGGGAAGGGGGGGGGGGGAAAAAGGGGGGGGGGGGGGGGGGGGGGGGGGGGGGGGGCCCCCCCCCCCTTTTTTGGGGGGGGGGCCAGGAGGGGGGGGGGGGGCCCCCCCAAAAAAATTTAAGGGGGGGGGGGGGGGGCCCCCCCCGGGGGGGGGGGGGGAAAAAGGGGGGGA